CTTTTTATAAAGTCATAGATCATACTTCTCAATCACATTTAGACTTTGCTGCAGGAGGATATTTCTTTACAGGAACCCTTGAATCCAGGTATGAAATCGTAGAAGGCACTGCAGAAAGATGTCTCCAATGGCCACTGGAACAAATGAGGCCAGTAAGGAAGCCAGGCATGCTAGAATTAGACAAATAAACTGCCATGGAGTCCCAACTGGCCACATTGATGAATGAGGTGAAGAATCTGAAAGCTGATCAAGAGCAACCAAGGATGGAAGTCTTACAACTCACAACAACTGAAAGTGAACCATGCTCAGCTTGTGGTGACCTTCATGATTCAACAGACTGTCCATCTACTGCCTTGGTGTGTTATGCAGAAAATTTTGGGAACAGAAACTTCACCCTGGCCAGAGACAATCAGAATGCAGGAAAAAACAACAATCAAAACCCTGGAGGAACCATAGTGAAAGATCAGAACCATAATCCACAATGGAGACCACCCATGAACTAAAGTCCATACAATAATCAACAGCAACATTATCAACAAGGCAACATAAATGGAGCATATGAACCACAAAGAAGAACCAATTACGCTCCGTTCCAAAGGGATGACCAACGTATCAACACCCTGGAAAATTATGTCAAAGAACATGTCACCAGGAAGGATTCTGTGGTCAGAAATATTGAAACCCACCTGGGACAGATAGCTGCTAGCCTCGATACCAGAACACCAGGAAAACTACCAGGGGATACTGAAGTTCCCTCAACCTCTTCTCCACAAGAATGAGAGGTAAGTAACATGTTCAGCTAAAGACATTATACTAAGCTCTGACTGGGAGGCAACCCAGTGGATACCTTTGCCCTTTAACAAAGAGCAAAGTTTTGGGGTGGTTAAAATCAACCACACAGATCCCAAAATGGAGGGAACGTTTGATGTTCAACTCCAAGTCCAAATAAAATATGTTCCATTCTAGGAACGTAGTTTCGGGGTGGTTCAATAACCACACATTCCCATATTAAATATATATATATATATATATATATATATATATATTTATACACATTTTTATTCGCAAGTTTTAAATAATTAGTATTTCTTTGCCATGCAATTTATATTTCGGGTTCTTTTATTAAGTAGGCTTGCATTTTATTTATTAGGAATTAGTTTATTATTATTGTTATTTTAGAATGTAGGTAAAAGACAAAGGGAACGTTCCCTGGCTTAGGAGATAAGAGTGACAAGGACACCTGTCCCTGCTGAGTCACTTACATATACGCAGCCATTATCAAATATGCACTCATTGCAAATTTTGAAAACGTGCCCTGAAAAAGCAACTGTCTCCTCAGCCATTAATGCAACTGCTCCTACCCTATTTCCTTCTCTCCCACGTTTCTAACCTAAACCGTTCCACCTCCTTACAACCATCATCAGCGGTTAAAAACCACTAACCCCTGACCATTCGTTCCATAACGTTCCCATTCCACCACCTCCTCAACTCCCTGTCTTCAACCTCCACGTCCTGAAAAACTCCTCATTTTACCTCCTATGCATGCTTATTTAAACTCATTTCCTTTCTTCTTTAATCTTTACCATTCTCTGTAACTTAGAAACTTTTGCTCTTATTCTCACTTCCCTCTACATTTTGCCCTAACCTTTTCTTTCTTCAACCATGACCAGACTTTCAGTATCTGTTATTCCTGTGGCCAGCCGTGGCCAGGAGCCCGAAATCTCTAAGGAGGTTGTTCATCTCTACCCAGAGAGGAACATCTTCCTACAAGATAAGGCTCCTCTTCCCTCATTTGTGAAGAAAGCCTTGCTCAGCCTCAAATGGCTTGCGTTTGCCACTGACGAACGAGAAGTCAACATCTCGTTGGTAGCTGAGTTCCTATATCACGCAAAAACGCTGCCTAAAGAGAACACCAAGGATGAGGTGACGGTGAGGGGGGAGAAAGTATCATTCTCCCCTTCAGCCATCAAGGAAGTACTTAACCTACCCACCATTTCCAAATGCCCGTACCAAGAATACATAGACACCAAAGAGGTTTTGACATTCACAAGGGATGTTAAGGACCTGATCGCCATCAAGAATCCCATCTACTCCAAAGGATCGTTATGCAAGGGAAGCATGAGAGACGAAGCCAGATTCTGGGCTTTGTTTGCCAACTCTAACCTCACTCCCTCCACCATCGATGCCACTGTCAAGTAGGCACTACAGGTGCAACTCTACTGCATTATGAGGAACATTCCTTTTGATGCAATACCCCTTATCTAAGGCAGTCTGAAGAAAGAGATGAGGAAGACTACTGTCTGTCTTCCCTGCCTGATTACAACGCTCTGTTTAAGAGCTGGGGTGAAGACCTACAAAGATGACAAGACGGTGGTGGCATCTGTCATCGATTTTAAAACTTGGAATAGTCTGAGAAGCAACTATATTGAGACAGCTGAACCAGTCCTTGAGGAATTCAAGCGCACTGATATTGATGATGATGATGAAGAAGAGGGCCTTGAGGCCCCATACAAGAAAACCACGAAGGATACCCCTTCAGAATCAACCACTTCTACCTACACCTAGGCAAGAAGAACCGTTCCCCCTCCCACAAAGGTAAAGAAGGAAGCCCTTGTTGCTGTTGAGAGCAAACATGGAAAAAAGAAATCTCCTGCCAAATCTCCTCCAAGAAAGGGGGAACGTTCCAGTCAGAGGCTAAAGAGAACCTTCAGCAGTACCAAAAAGCCAGAGGGAGCATCCTCTGAGAAACCTATCACCCTCTCTGAGAAGGAGGAAGATAATGAGGACAATGAGCCTATTGCCAAAAGGCTGAAGCAAAGAGGAACGTCTAAGCCTGCTGAAAAGAGGGTATCCCCAAGTAGCTCTGCTACTTTTGAATATTCTGATGTTCCGTCCCCTCCTCCATCACCTGCTCATCCTCCAACATCACATCCCTCTCCTAGGCAACAACAAGGAGAAGAGATTGCAGAAATAGAAGCAGCACTTGCTGCCGAAAAATAAGTGGTTGAGCAAGAGACTCAGCCACAAAAGAACCATGACAAAGGGAAGGGGATTCTTGTTGAATCCCCTAAGAAAAAGAAAAAGACATCTGTGCCCAGGAAAATCAGCCTGGGTGGGCCCCTCTCTTGCCCCATCATCCGTCCTAATACTTCTGGGGACGAGGCCATTGCTAGGGCTTTGGCAGAAGAAGAGGGCATGAAAGTTCCTCCACTGATGAAGGAACAAGCTACAACAGCCCCCTTTTCCTAAAAAATATAGGAGGTTGCAGTCAGGCAAGCACCTGAAGAACCTCCAGCTTTTGGCAGCAACAATAACCAGAAGAAGAAGAAGCCATCTTCCCCTATTCCAGCAATCCCCATTGCATCAAGAAGAAAATCTCAGATTTGGATTGTTGAGATTTTTGAAATGATGGGGAAGAAGATGGAGAAGCTGCTACCCGAAACCCCTTCCGTTCCTCAGCTGGACATGGCCAGCACTGATGAAGAGCTAAAGGCTCTAAGGAACGGACTAAACCAACTCTCATATGCCTTCACCACCTTCCAGGAACAACAGAAGTCAGAGAGAGAGAGCAGCTTCTCAACACCATTAGAGACATCATTAAAAGCATCAGTGTTGCCTCTTCTGCACCTACCCTTCAAGCTATCAGGAATGAAATAAAAAATGCATCTGAATCCCTGCAGTTTGCTCATGCCATGCACAACACCAGAGCTGAGAAATAACTCAGAAAACTCTACCTCCAAAACTCTGAAGAACGAAGAGAAACCAATGAAGCTCTCAAAGCTTTTGGTACATATTTGGAGGGGAGAATCACTCAGTTGGAACACCGGTTGCTGGATGTTGAAGGGAAGATAGTGCACATCCACAATGGCAGGATACTGATAAGATCCACCATTGTGCACCTCACTGCTGTGATCAGCGATCTACTGAAGGATGCTGAGAAGTGGCTCCCTGAAGCTGAAGTAAGAAGATTAAGAGAATAGCTCAGCAGGAGACCACCCACACATGAGGAACTAGATGCTGAAAAGAATTTTGAGCTGGGAAAGAGACGTCCCCATTGAAAAGGAGAAAGACCCTCCTATTTTGCTTATTTCCCATTTATTGCTTTTCTGTTAATTTATTCTTGTTTCCTTTTCCGTTCCCTATTGTAATTTATAATTCCTTTTTGAAATAGAAAAATCTCTTTTTGATCAAACTGTTTGGGACATACATTTCAGTTATAGTATTGTGGCTGTGAAACTTTGAATAAACCAATGGCATGAAGCACAAAGTCAATGAATAATCATTCTTGTTCTTACTCTAAATGCTTGAAATAGGAAAGGTGAAATGAATTTAATCTTCAGATTTTTGAAGGAAACTGATCTGTGTGAACTAAAGCTCGTGGGGAACGAAAAATGCCAAACACTTACTCATGAGAGCGTTACTCAGGTGTCACCACAATGAAACTTTTTAACTTGCCTTGATGCTGTCAGTACTGCTGAAGAACATGTGAATTTCACTAACAAGGATCAACCTTCAAACACTCACCCTTTCAAAATTAAACAAACATTTCCATTTCCATTCATACCACAATACAACCCCCCCCACACACTCATCCCATGGTCAACTAAAAGGTGCAAGGAACAAATTCAAAATGAGCAAAAGGACAAGAAGATAAGAAAACAAAGAAAAATGGGAATATCCATTCAAAAGAATTCAGAAGAAAATACCAGAAAAGATTCTTCCAAAAGAAGAAAAGAAGGTACAAAAAGACAAGGTGTTCCCTCAACTAGAAAAGTCCAGCTCCAGAACAGAAGAACTGAACAATGTTCCTTGATCCAAGTTCAGTGACCATTTCATTTCTAAAAACCCTCTATCAATCATTTTTCACAAAGATCCTTGATATGGAAGACACCTGCACTTCTTAGGAAAGCAGCAGATAAGCAAGTCTGAAGAATCACATCCAGGAATGGACAGAGAAACACCAAGCCCTGAGTGATAGTGAGACAAAAGATCAGCAACCTTTACTTACCTGGGAACAAATTCTTTTTATTGATCACCTTTGGAAAGTAGTTCATTCTTTGAAAAGTTTATGATTATTTACTGGCTCAAGTTTCTGAAGTTGAGCTATTCTTTGAAATTGAGCAGCCTAAGCCACTATTTCTGAGTTTTTTAAGGACTACCAACAGTTTAGTTTTGGGGTGTTTGATGGGACGAAAATTCGTTCCCATCTAAGCCCATTTTGATGGCAAAATGTCGTCCGTTCCCTCACCTGATGAGCAACTTTAGCACTAAAAGCATATGTTTAATATCTTTTTGACAAAAACACAGTGGGGAACGGATGGTGGCGCAAGTCTCTGGAAAATATATAAAAAGAGGAACGAATTTGGAACATTAAATACATCTGCTCCACTCATTTAATATTTCTGACCACTTTGCAGGAAACGTTGGAAATAAATTTCTATAAAGCATAAGCGGTGCAGCAATCAAGCAAGAGGAAACGTACGCAGCAGAGAATAAACGGTTCCTATTGCTTATAAAGGAAAGCAAGGCATAGGGATGATCAGAAGGAAAGACAAATCTCAACAATAACTGCCCCATCCAGCCACTTGCGCCCTTCAAAGCACTGTTCACACCGCCCCTTTCATGCAGTCAAGAAAACAACTCCAAGAGAATTGCCCACTTTTCCCTTCACTCTTCTGCCTATAAATAGGACGATCCAGCACGAAGAAAATAATCGAATTCCTTAAGAAGAGATCACTTAGTTTATTTTATATTTTTCTTTGTATTTTTTATAGTTTTAACTTTTGTTAAGTGACAACACTTCTTCTTCATTCTGTATCACCCACTTGAGACTCTTCACGAGCAGCAACCATATTCTCCACTTTTTATTCTGTTGTAATCAAGTTATTTTCATTTAAATACATGTGTTATTTCTCTCCTTTCCATTCGTTATCTCTGAACTGAATCTCGGGTCTATAGGACTTCAGTTTGGAATAATTATGTTTAAGTTAGTAGCCACATGCTAAACCATATGTGGAACGGAAAAACTACAAAGTTCTTAAAGACTTATTTTCAAAACTTTTATTATTGAGCTTTTGTATTTCTCTGGTTAAGTGAGCCATATTCATTGTGTATCAATGGAAATTGAACACATACTGAGAAAGGAACTTCCATACAGAAGGGATTTCAGACAGCTTAACCAGAGGGGGAAGGTAGTGTTGTGGAAACAACGCTGCTGGTTGCCTTAGGAATAAGGGACCACGTCGTTCACTTGAAGGTCCTGTACCCAGTACCTGTTGGAGTCAAGGGAGCCATAGGAATATGGAAACTTGTGAGCCATCCAGTCCATAAGCTGAGGAATAAGACGTTGGCAGTAAAGAGACTGGAACAAAGACAAAAGTCTTAAGTCTTGAGTAGAGAAAATAATTATTTAAGAATGGACAGTGGATCCGTTCCTTCTGTTAAAACTATTTTACACCATCCATCCTATTGTCTCTTAATTACTGTTATTACTATTGTTATTTTTTCTGTTATTTGTTCAATCTTGTATCTATAAATCTCCCATGAATATTGCTTTTCCTTCTTTCAACAACAAGGGTATCATACATAACAAAGCGATGAACTGTTTACTGTCAGACTGAACCTACAATCCTTGAGGAACGTTGTCAAGATAGTATGGAAGGTTTGACCAAACAGGTCAATTACTAACTTTTCTTTTCATTTTCATTCTTTGTAAAATAGTATAAGGCATTAATTAGCGTTCCATCCTCGTGGGAACGATAATCTGGGCATTAATACTCCCATTTATTACTTGATGTGTGCACTTGCGCACTTGGGTTGAAATTAAGAGAGCAAATGTGTTTTCTCTTAATGAACTAAGGAATGTTCTACAACATATATATTTTTCACCCAACAGCTTTTGACCCAACAGGCTCCACAGCAAACTAAGAAGGAGGTGGACAAATTACAACTCGGAGCTTATTTATTATTCTAGACTCCAAAAGAACCCCTCTCGAAAGTCCTGAAGGAGGTGGGGGTAGGGGTTGGGGAGTTTCTTGATCAATAATAACAGCAGCAGAAGCAACAACTGTGGCAGAAATGGTATCACCAGAAGGAGGATGAGATTTATCCTTTGTTTTCATTATGCCAGAGCTTTGACTTTTGGATTGATAATTCGAAGTCTTGAGCCTTTTGGTTTTGGGATTGAGAATTCGAAGGCTTGAGCCTTTTGGCTATGTTGCTAGGGCTAGCCATGCTTGAATTTGAGAAAGAATGAAAATTATTAGGTATAAAAAACAAGTTTCCCTATAAGATTTATATGAGTAGATGGAAAAAGCAAGTATATCAACAATCAATCAATCGCATACTCATTATATTTTGCTTGGCTTGTGCTTTTGATACAAGCGACACAGAGCTAACATGACCATGAACTTGCATATGATTAAGTAATTCAGCAGCATTGATTTTGTCCTCTTGTGAAAGTTTAAGTTTGAAATCGGAGGACTTTAATAGATGATGCTCCTGAGAAATAGAGACGAAATCTACTTTCAAATCCCTCAGAAGACATAAACCAAGGTTTTTGTCCGACCTCGGCCACTACTATAAAAAGGAAGTCTTGAAATATTTGAAGGAGTCATTATACATGGAGAACAACTTCTTTTTGTGACGACCCTGGATATTAGTTCAACCTTTTAACTTACGCGGCTCAGATCCAGTCCGAGAAGTATATATATTAAAAAATGAAGAAAAAAATCTAATGCACAACACAAATTCAAAGATGAATAGAGTTGTTCAAAGGCATTTATGTATGCCTAACCATTTGGATGAATATGAGAGGGAGCAAGATGTAGATGATTTAACATATCAATCTGGAACACGGTGAAAGGAAACTGAATACCGACTTTGGTGATCAAATCACGGTAGAAGAAAATGAAGGAGTTTTCTCCGAATTCATCCTGGAACAAATAGATTCGTCCTCAGTAGGAGGAAATATGTTAAATCCAATCGGGTTACCAATAGGG